CCTTGACATGCTGCCACGCTTTGAGTGTGTGACATTTCATTTTATGCTATTTTTAAATATTTCTGGTTTTTTTTTTTAACAAAAAATCTGCAAATCTAACTAACTTATTTACGCATCAGCCGGCATTACTAATGAGTATATAGATACATATGTATGTATATTAATTTAGAGCCGCTGCTAATGGAATGGTATGCCGTTAGTCATAATGCTACTAGCTTTTTTTTTTTTTTTTTTTTTTGATTTTGATATATTAGTTTCTCTGGTTATTTAGCTATTTTTCTTCTTATCGTTTCAATTGATATTATATGAGCTATTCATCAAGTTGGCAAACATTTACATTTGTATGCATATTTGAAAAGAAATTTGCGTTCATAATTCTATTTGGAATTTCCATAATTAACAAACAGGTGTTCTTAGTGCAAATGTGTGGGTGTGGAGTTGGTTTGAAAGGCAGTTGTTTCAATAAAATAGGATTTTAACTGCACCAAAAAATAAACATACGTTTATTTAACAAACACATATCGAATTGCAGTACAGGCCAAAGTTCGCAAAGAATATGCTCTGCAGATGTGTAAATATGTACGTATGTAAGCGTTTGAAATGTAAATGTTTTGTTGTGAGCGAAAAAATTTGATGTACTTTTTAGAGTTTTCGTTTATCTTCATAAACAAGTGTAAAAAAATTGAAGATTATTTTCAAAGCCTTCCTCTGCAATATTCTATACATTTTTCATATACAAAATTCCCGTTTTATGCTTTTCTATCATTTCACTAACCAAAAATGTTTCCCATGCTATTTTTTAACTGTACTTTCTATTCGCTTACATATGTACAATACCCGTGCTATAACCCCGTCACTCACTTTATTCATATTTATTAAGTATACAGTACCGCCCAGCCAGCTGAAGAGAAAACCGGATATCCGTATATTTTTCATTAATAAATATGGGTATATACAATACATACATCTCTTTTGGTATACCAATTGACGTCACCACAAATAACTTTGCGACGAGTATTAAAAAAGCTTGCGAAGAAAGCCAAACAAAAAAAAAAGATTAAAAAAAAATAAAAGAGACCCCTGAATGGATAACAACTATTAATGGTTTTATTTTTTTTATTTTTTGTGCCTTCAAGTTACTATAAATGAGTTGAATTGTTATCGGGTATAAGCAAAGAAAGCAAGCAAACAAAGTAAGTAACAGCGAAACATAAAAGAAAAGAAGGAAGAAAGAAACAAAATTTTCAGACAATAGGTAAGTGGTAGGTATTGAAGAAAAAGATAATGGTTATAAAAAAGATAATGGTACAGAAAACGGCATTAGAAACTAATAAGAAATTAAAAAATACAAGCATGAAGGGAATTGAAATGAAAAGAAATAAAATATAACAGAAAATTGGAAAATACCTTGAAAGTCTTGAAATTTTTACTGCGCTGCAAACAAATTGCATCGAAATTTTGAAAATGCATCAAAAACCTCAAAAGTTGCTGCTCAGTAAGCCAAATTTATTGCAGAAAACCATTTCGAGTTTAAATTTTTCAGTTTTTTCGAGAAAATTGAATAAATAAACTTAGTGGGAAGGAAACCTTCCCACTATTTGTCAACCTGTCCAAAAAATTGGAATATAGAAAAAATAAAATACTACCAAGACTAAAAAATAACTAACAAAAGCAAAAAAAAAACTTTTAGAACAGTTTTTTATAATATACCAAAAAATAATATATAATATATATATAAATATTTTTTATTATTTCGTTTTGTCGTTTGTCGTTCGTTTGCCGTAAATTTTCTTGAAGAAATAAAAAGTATGCGAGCATTTTTTCTTGGGAGCTACCAGCTGATTTATTTCTATTTCGTTTCTTGAGTGCCATTTTATATGAATTTCCCATTTTTCGAAACAAATCTAACAAAAAAAAATTTATTTAAGTCAGAAATGTAAAAAAATTTAAGAACTTTTGCGAAAACATTTCAGAAAACGACGAAAAACTCGTTTGTGGGAAAAGCAAAGGTAAAAAAATGAATAAAAATTTAAAAAAAAAATAATTAAAAACTCTAGTATTAAATAACCTATAACTGTATTGCTAAAAGTAAGTAATTTATGAAGGCAAAAGAAACAAGTAATTTTTTAGCAAAAAATAAAACCGACTTCCGATTATCATATAAACATATAAGACTATCGTTAATTTCTTCACGATCCAATTATATTATTATTAAACAAAATTAGTATGGGACCACCCTTGAAGAACCACCTTTCCGATGAAAAAAAGAGTTATCGAAATTGGTTAACGTGATCCAAAGTTATGCGGTAACATACATAAAAATATATATATATATATATATATATATATATATATTCCGACGAACTGATTTTTTGAAGTCAGTTAAAAAGAAATAAAAGGAAAAAAACATGCAAAATTTAAAATTAGAACCGACGACAGCTGAATAATTGCCGTCAGAGAAGTAAATTTGCATAGAGAAAAGAAAACAAATACCGACACAATAGATACAACAACCTCAAAAAGCAAAAACGACCAAAAAAAAACCTGAACCAAATCTCGAAAACAAGCCAAAATAATTAAAACGCAACAATTGTTTACACCTTGAGTAAAACAGTAAAAAAATTACTTCAAAACAGGAAAACAAAAATAATAAAAATAAATAACAAACGTTAGCAGCACCTTGAATAAATCGAAGAAGAGAAAAAAACTTTGAAAAAGTGCAGACATCCTACGTGCAAAAAAAAAGTAAACATTTGTATCGCCAGCTGACAAAACTACTATCCAGCTAACGAAAAAATAGTAATGGAAACGGATGAAGGAAAGCTGGTACATACATACTTACATACATATGTATGTTTAACAAAGTGGGCGTTAACTGCCTAATTTTACTGTTAATAAACTTATCATACCTTAATACATATGAATATACATACATATACATATAAATAGTATTGATGAATCATATAGTATTAAAAGTTATAATGAAAAAAATTTCATTTTTTTTAAACATACTACATACATATTCATTTACAATGCTTGCGCCCTAATGTTCACGTTTAAGGGACTACTTACAAAACAAAGTTAATGAACAGAGGTGAAACAGTGAAAATGTGTGACAGACTAAATGTCGACAACAGGTATTTGCGCAGCGTACGTGTGCATACATATTATTTACATACATTTGTATGTCGGCATATTCTGCCCCTTAAAGCTGTAGGGGCAGGCAGCAAGGCAGTCTTGAAAATATTTAGCGGGCATATTTTGCCTTTTGTTTTTTAAGGGAAGTATGTAATTTTAAGGAATGTCTAATGTCAATAATTAACACAAGTGCGCTAATATAATTTTTTTTTGACGGAGTTGCTAAGCGGAGAGTTATTGGTGGCGATGATATTCTAGATATTGGAATACACACGCTTGCAGTAGGAGATTGGGTAGCAAGAAACTTAAAATTTATTATGTTAAGTACATAATAAAAAATAAAAATTTTACTATTTAATGAAAAGGTACTAGATAATCAAAAAGTACTTAAGTTACGAAGTGATTATAACGTATTAAAAATACAAAAAGTACTAAACATCAAAAATTGTAAAAGTACTAAATATTAAAAACTTCCTAAATATTAAAAAGTACTTATTATTAAAAAATCTGAATACTAAAAAGTACTATAATTCAAATAAGTGCAAAAAAAGTACTAAAAAGCTAATAAGTATTAAAAATGCAAAATGTGCCTAAGTTTTAAAAAAGTACCAAATATTTAAAAAAGTACTAGAAATTTATAAAGGTATTATAATTTATAAAGGTATTAGGTACTAGGAATTTAAAACGGTATCAAATATTAAAAAAAGTACTAAAAATTAAAAAGTACTAAATATTTAAAGCACCTTAAAGAATGAAAGATAAAAATGTATTAAAAATTAAAAACGCGCTAACTATTGAAATATGACCAAAAATATCCAAGCTTTAACAAAAGTACAAATTTTTAAAAAGTATTAACTATTTAAAAAAGTACCGGTTATTTAAAAAGGTACTAAATATTTAAAAAAGTACTAAAAGCTTAAAAAATAATTAAAGAAACAAAAAATACTAAATTTAAAAAAGTTCTAGGAAGTACTATATTCAGCCATGCCATGAGTTTCATGTTCGTCGAAAATGGTTTACTTTTCGTTTATGTGCATTCACTACGGGCGAATGAAAAAATGTCAGGCCAATTTGTTTTCCGGCGAAACTCAGATAAGGCTTACTTTAAATAAGTGCTAAAAGTACTAAAAGGTCAAAAAAGTATTAAAGATTTGTACAAATATTAAATAGCTAAGTACTAAAATACTTAGAATGGAAACAGTATTGAAAACTAAAAAGGTACTACATATGTATTAAAAGTTGCTCAAAAGTTCTAACTGCCAAAAAAGAACTAAATAGACTAATTATTAAAAGAGTACTAAAAAGTGCTAAGAAGTACTAAAAAATACAGAAAAAACTTTAACATTATTCCAAACATTTTTAAAAAACACACTAAGGGCCGGTTACTCAATGTCTGGTTAACACTAATCTCCGTTTAAACATCATTATCGACGTGTTCGGCTCCATGCATAGAACATGGAGTGGGTAACGTCGATAACGATGTTTTACCGGAGATTAGTGTTAACCAGACATTGAGTAACCGGCCCTAAGGGCCGTCTTCTCGACTGCCTGCTTAAAATTGATGGCCGAACTGCTTTATCGACTTTTTATCGATAGCTTGTTATAACCATGTGAGCGACAAATTTGACATGCAGTCAAAGCACCGGTCAAGGCCCTAAGTAATACCAGAAATAAATAACATTGCATGAAAAAAAAATTCGAACCTCCCTTAAGTACGTTTTTTCCTAACTAAATAATGGGCGTATTCTTGTTTTCGTAGGTATCGAAGTTTTGCAAATTTTCGCATAGAAAAATTATAAAAAACAAATAAACATATGTACGCCTCAATATTTCAACTTAACCAGCTCTAACTTTAAACTCACCTCATTAATGTTGTTATTGTTGTTGCTGCTAAGGCAATTCTGTTGGGTTTTCTTTAGTTGCATTTGTTGCAAATCATCCACACAGGTTTTGTTGTTGTTATTATTATTATTGCAATTACTGTGTTGCATTGCGGCACTCGCATCGGCAACGTTAGCGATACTAGCAGTGGTTGTTGTTGTTGTTGTTGTTGGTGGTGGACTATTCGTTCTACTGTTACTAGTGCTATCCAAAGCAATCAATTTCCATAGCTGTCGCAAACCAATATTATCCACGCAGGAGAATCGTAATTTCTCAGTTGACCAAGCCATGGCAGCGGCGGCTACAGTGGCGACGGCGGCGGCCTGGGTGGTTGTTGCTGTTGGCGTTGGCGTCGGCGTCGTCTTGTGATGACGTGAGTGTTGGTGCGAATGCAAATGGTGGTGGTGGTGGTGATGATGATGATGGCTACGAAGCTGATAATGGTGCGTTGCGGTTGTTGCTGTTTGTGTAGCGTGTTGTTGCAGCAGTGTTGAAGTCATAGTTTCCATATGCAGTTAGATGTAGGGGAAGTTATGCAAAAAAATGTATTTTTTGCAAATTTATAAAACTGTTTTTTTTTTCACCGTTCCTTTTTTTGGGTTTTTTTCTTAGTGTTTTTAGAATCACTTTTTCTAAAGCCGTTTACTTTTTAAGTTTACACTTGCTAATTTTACTTTGAGCCTTTATTATTTTTAACTACTTTTCTCGTAGTTTCCTACAAAACACACTTCGGCTGCTTTGTAATTCTGTCACTTTTTATGTTTCAAGCAATAAATCACTTTTATTGCTGTTGTCGTTCACTTCAACAACAAGTAACCGGTTCCGCCAGTTTTCACTTTACAATTGTTGCTTAGTTTGTTTGTTTGTTTTATTTAAATGCATATCTTTCAATTGCATTTTATGCGCACTGAGCCGATTTTTTTTTCTTCTCTAAAAATTATTGGCTCAATTTCGTATTCGTAAACTCTGTTTTACTGTATCAACGCGCGTCATACATTTTCAAAGTACTTTTTTTCTTGCTTTTTACTAAAGAAATATTTAACATTCCTTTCTGGCGTAACAATTACTAAGAGAACTCACGGTGAACTGGTTTGTATCGCTGAAACGAATGGCTTTTTATTTGCAAGGCTCCAGTGTATGTAGGCTGCCGAGTTAACAGCGGCGCGCTCATCTCAATTGAGCGCAGTGGAGCTTAGCGATCGAGCGGTTTGAGAGTGCTAACAGATCTTTGGTACTCGTAAGCAGTGTTGCCGTTGTGCGACTGAAGGGCAATTATACCCTTTTTAGGCGCCAATACCGTTTGACCGGACTTTTTGAAAATTTTGATTTTTTGACCCTTTACCAAAATTATGGGCGACTTTTGCCCCTTTTCAGAGATTTCGTTTTGGACCCATGCTATTAAAAAGTATTTTCCCCTGTAAGTAGAGAAAAATGCACTACTTAAAACTTTTAAAGGAAATGCAACACTTTTCTATATTTTGTTTAAAGCTTGTCCCGCTATTTTCTTCTTAAATTGAACAGCGGAATGTTCTAGCAGCGAATAGACTTTATAATACATGTAAACTTGATTTTGACTTGGGAGCTGAGATTTTTTTCCTAGTAAAGAAAAGCAAATATAATATGATGACCCTTTTTTCGTCAATTAGCCCTTTTTTGTGATTTTCTGAAAATTCTCAACGGCAACACTGCTCGTAAGCAGTTACTTGGTGCACTTGAACAGTGTGCTAAGTACCAGCTCAGCTATAGGGTAATGTTAAGTGGATGAAGAGCGCGAAGGCGTGTATGTACGTATATCGAAATGTCATACCAAGTAAATGAGCCGATCATTTGCCGAGAAAAGAGGGCGTGAGTGACTAAATAAAACATTGAATTGTTAATTTCAGCTATTGTACATACATATACATATATATGTCTATGCCTGCAAACAGCTGTGGTTATTGCACTCTTGCCTATAATCGACTTGCAATGGGCGAAATTCCTATTTTTTCAAACGATCGCTTTCTGTTAACATAAATGAGCGTTTTGGCATTTTAAAAAATATTCTGACACTTCATTGCTATTATTTTAGGCGCTCATCGCTCTCTACTTAAAAATACTGCTTTTATTCGGTAGTTGGAAATCATTTCTGTTAAGGAAAGTGATTTATTGACGTATATTGTATACTAACTTCTTTCATCCACACCTTTTAGACCACCAAAGAGCTTTGCCACGATCAAAGATTTTAAATACTCTGCATTATTCGCTCTATTTTTAAATTCAATCTCATTTATCTCGTATTGTTCAAGTATACTTCATACTAACTCTACTACAACAGACTTATGTACATACATAGCACCAAATACTAAATACATGAATGTACATTAGGGTGGCCCAAAAATGCATGTAAAAAAAGTATAGTCGGAATTTTTATGCTCTTACCCCCTAGGATTGTTCTATATCGAAAAAGGTGTACCCCTATTTTTTTATTTTGAAATCAAAAAATATTTAGAGGTCGCTCAAAGCGCTCAAAGTTTTCCATGTATTTTGTATGGGAAGAAACAACTTTTCGTTTAATTCAATTAAATTTATCAGTACTACCAGCCTTGTGCATCGACGCAATAGGGTTATTCACGTTGTGTGAACAAAAACAGCTGATTTTTGGTTTTGATTTGTTTACAGAAAAATTCATTTGAGAGGTTTTAATGGGGTATATTTGTAGTCCAAATTAAGTCGATACCAACGTTTTTTGCAGTTTGACATAATTTTCAATACAATATCTGTCAAAATACGTAATTAACTTACATATATTAAACGATATATTTACTAGAAAGGGCATAAAAATACCTTTCATTGGATATATAATTTTATATAGATAGGTTTATGGACAACTGCCAACAGCGAAATAAAACAACTGTATTGATATTTTAATATAAAATACAAATTTTGTATAAAAACTAGCGCGATCTTTTCTTCCTAATGTTCGCCTGCAGAACTTTTTTCTTTTAACTTATAAAATCATATTTTAATATTTAGTGATATTACCAAAGATTTTTTTTATTATAAATCATATATTTGAAGGTGTTTATTTATATGCTATTTCTTATCTTGTGCATATCTTTTAATATAGTTAATTAAGTATTTTTTTAAGAAAAACAAATTTTTAATAAATCATTTTTTATTTTAATATTACTTAAAAAGAATTTTTATTACCTTTCCAATCATATCCATGCTTTGAAAATTGGTTCAAAACTTTTGAAAATATTGAAAATTCCACGTTTACCTTACGTGAATTAAAACCCCCCCCCCTAATATGCTTTCCATGCATCTCTGTAAAAATATTGCTATTGGTACCACTGCAATTGAAATGTCACTTAAGAAAACATGAGGGAAAATCTAAACTCTCAACATATCGCTAATTTTTTACAGTTACTAATTTCAGGGTAATGGAATACATACAAAATGCATTCAACAGAGTTTCAACTGACAGTTTGAAATTTATGCGAAGTTATGCGAAGTATGCATAATCAGACCATAAATCTCGATGCCTGGAGTTCAGGGTTACCAAATTTCATTTTTGCCAGAACGGCGATTTAGGCGGTTTTGCAACTGGTCTATGGGCGGCTTTGCAAAAACATCGACTATATGTATGTCACTCTGGAATGCAGTTACATTTTTTTTTGTTCAGAGAGCACAAACCCAGACACAGTTTGCCCACTGTGGTACAAGGCAGACCTCTGCATTGATTATTTCTAATTACATTCACTTAAAATTATGGAATTCCATAGATTAGCAAAGATAACAAAATACAAATAATAACTTAATAATTCCTTAAAATAATGCAAACGATTTATGTTATTTCGCAACTTCATCGGCAAACACTGACTGCCTACCAACTGTCATTATGACAACATCCATTCGAACAACATATTTAATTGTGGTTGGGCATTTTGATGTCTTGAACATTTGCCACATGACGCCACCAGATAACATTCTCTCCATTTCAGCGTTTAGATATTGAAATCCTAAAAAAATTCTGAATAATTTCCTTAAATGTAATCAAAAATAATCCAATAAGGCAAATTTCATAGATGTAACCACTAAGCAGGGACCGAGAACGCGTTCCAGTTTTCGTTTCGTTCTGCACGGGAACAAACTGTAATGTCAAGAACGTTCCTACAAAGGAGCTAAATGAGGGAAAAAGATATTTAGAGCAGTTTAAACCGGGCAGAAAAAAAAAAAAAAAAACAAAAAAAGTTCGGGAAAGGTTCTGTAAAGCAGAAAATGCGCAAAAAGTCTCGGTATCGTTCTCAAGAAGAACAGAATGAGAACGAAACGTTTTCAAAGAGGATCAAATAAGAACAAAAGTCTGGGGAACGTTTTGCTTGATAACATATCGAGAACAAAAGTTTAGAAAGGTGGGATGAAAAATAGTTTCAGTAAGAACCACGTTTATTAATTCTAAGCCAGTGGAAAGTTGGATCATTTCAACTTCAAGATCGTTTATCATTCCGGTGAACGCCCATTTATGGAACAACTTTTGATTTTCTGTGCAAGAAAAGTTCATGCCTTAAGTCTTTCGTTGACTTTATTTGCATAATTATCTTTCAGTTCTCCTTTGAAATTTCAAACTAATGCAACACTATTAAACAATCTTTCTTCTCGCTTCCTTTGTTCGCGAATAGTTCAGAAAAGGTTTGTTCCCGTTTATTTCTCTGTCAGAAAGTTCCTGAGATTCTTGTTCCCGAATTGTTCTTCGAGAGAAAGTTCCTTAGAGATCTTTGCCAGGACGTTCCGGAGACTTTTGTTCTCTTAGAAATGTTTCCAAAAGTATTGTTCTTTTTGGGAACTTTCCACAGGATTTTAATCTTATATAATTCCCATCGAGAACGTTCTCGACAGTTTTGTTCTCATTTCGGTTTTGGTTTTGAAGCGTTCTTGGGAACAAAACTACGAAAACGACATTTAGATTCGATCATACGTTTCGTTATCGGTCCTTGCCACTAACACGCTTTCCTTCAAATAAAAATACAGCTTTTAAGCCACCATATTGCAATAAGATATGACATATATATACAGGGTGTACCAGCCCACCCGTCCACCCCCTCTAAAATGGAGGAGAAAGTTTTTTATTGAAAAACCCAAAAATTCGTCCTACCAAATCGGGGATGTTCTATATTTTTTGGTGGTATTACTGAATTCCGCTTTCGAGCGATAGTGGGTTTAACTGACCGAAAGTCAATTTTTCTAGATTAGGCATACATGTTTTTGCTGCAGATTTTAATTTTTGTTTGAAACTTTTTTCTCGGAAGTATATTTTTCAACCCCTAAATGACATTCGAACTTTAATTAGTCTTGGACTTCTGAAATATATATCTATAGTTTGATCGTACTGCCGACTTCCGGTTTCGACCGGAAGCGTGTTAAACAGGACCAGAAGTCCATTGTTTATTTTTATCCTCAGAATCCAAAACTGGAGTAAAAAATTTGATGTCTAATTTAAACAAAAATTTACTGGTAGGTCGATTTTTTGAGTTTTTCAATTTAGAAGGAGACACTTTGTGTTTTGCTGTTTTGTATTTTCCTGTTGAGACAGAGGCTTAAAGCTGCCTTTACATAAGGCGATTTTCCAGGCGATTCAACATTGCTCTGGGAAAATCGCTCGTGTAAATAGTGATTCAAAAATCGCTTGCCTCAAAGTAGGGAGCAAGTCAACTTTTGCAGGCGATTATCGCCAGTCAAAAAATCACATCATGTAAAGGCAGCTTAAGTGCGCTGCCCAGGCGCACTTATTTTTTTTTCTTTGTTCTGTCGACTACTTAAATCGTGGAGTTCCCATAGAATATTTTAGCGATCGTTAGTAATTCAATTGATCTTATCCATACGTACAAGTCTTCATTTACACATTTTCCCCTCCCCTTCCAGTAGTAATAGTTCTTTGAAATACCCAATTACTAGAATTTCTTTATAATCGCACATAAATAAATATTTATATGTAAATATAACATTAAATTACTATTCGCTTTCGTTTTGGGATTTTTCAAATTCCATAAATAAAAAATGTCTCCTTATTTTAAATGGGGATTTTTTAAGGTCTCATTGCTGCATGCATTTAAATGCCATAGGCACGTCTTA